GCCAGACTGGCTTCACTGCGCCTTCTGTCTCTGGCTGGGAAAAGGCTTCCTACGACCTCTGTGGGCTCACTTCCTCAAACCCGCGGGGACACGGAAAGTAGGGGGGGAAACAAGGGTTGTGGTGGGGTCGGGTGTCAGCCAGAGCAATGAGTTTGTTTCTTTTTTTGATTGAGGTAAATAAAAAAGCTTTATCCAGCAACAAGGAGATAAGAGTCTGTCCACCCCCATGAGTTCCAGGCCCCACCCCTGCCCTCACATCAGGCTCTTCCGGTACTGACTGTGTGGGGTGGTCTGTCTGAGGTGGGAGTCGGGGGTCTGCAGGTCCATCTGTCTGTACAGGTCTCTCAGCTCCCTGACCTCCTGCAGCACCCTCTTCGCCTGGCTCCAATTCGATGACGCCTCTCCCAGCAGCCGCTCCGTCTCCAGCAGCAGCTGCTCGGACTCAGAATCTGGCGGAGACCCAGGGGGGTCCTTGGCCTTTCGCTTCCCATCCCCCAGGCCGTGAACCTCTGCCAGCAGCTCCTGAGTCTTCTCCAGTTTCCTTGCTACCAGGTCCTGGATCCGGGACAGCTGCCCCGGGTTGGGAAGGACAGGGGTTGGGGGTTCCTCAGCCCGCAGCTGGAGGGTGCGGGGAGGGGCAGCGGCCCGCTGAGACAGGATCTCCTCCAGCGAGGCGCAGCGGCCTTTCTCTGTGGGAGCCAACTTCTTGGGTGCCTGGGGGGTGGAAGGTGGCCCCCTTGTCCGGTTTCTCCCAAGGTCGGGAGAGGCTGCTTGCCCGGTCTGCAGAGGGCTGGATGCGGTCTGAGTCTGCCCTCCGCCGGCTCCCTGCCAGCTGGCCCACAGACTTGTCCAAGTCAACCCGAAAGTTCTCAGCACAAGAGGTTGGTTCCTCAGGGGAAGGGTCTTCCTCTTGGATCAGGTCCAAGGTCAGCATTCCATCTGAGGTAGAGGTGGAAGCCTGCGGAGGAAGGGGGAATGAGAAGGGAACACTGTCATCAGGAGGGATTTTAGGAACTACCTAAAACACGGGTGCAAGCTCTGGTCATTTTCCTCTACAAGCCTTCCTTGAATGAGAAGTACTTTTTTTTTTTTGAGGCAGAGTCTTGCTCTGTTGCCCAGGCTGGAGTGCAGTGGCACAATCTCGGCTCACTGCAAACTCTGCCTTCTGGTTCAAGTGATTCTCCTGCCTCAGCCTCCCAAGGAGCTGGGATTACATGCACCACCACCATGCCTGGCTAGTATTTTTGTATTTTTAGTAGAGACAGGGTTTCACCATGTTGGCCAGGCTGGTCTCAAACTCCTGACCTGAAGTGATCCACCTGCCTCGGCCTCTCAAAGTGCTGGGATTACAGGCGTGAGCCCCGTGCCTGGCCAAGCCCTCCTACTGAACGTGCTGTTTCTTACTCCTTTGATAGTGACTTGAATGTTTATTTTTCTGTGATTTAATTTCTGTTGCTTGTTTCCCGTATTCTCCACTCTACTGCAAGCTTCCTGAGGAGTGTCCTCTTCCTCGGTATTGTGGACTCTGAGCATTAACCTGGGTTTGACACACACACAGGGTGCTCCCCATGGCGCAGTGACTGTCCTCCTCCATCAGCATCTTCTGAGCCCCACACCTCAGCCCCCTTGCCTTATGATAAAATGTGTTCTCTTATTTACAGAATACCATAATTTTAAAAAAGTGATGAGTATTCAATACCATATATGTAGTTATACGTATGGTGGTCATTCCTCACAGCAGCCCTTTGAGGCGGGCACGATCACCGCCTCGTTTCACAGGTGGAGACATGCGACTTCAGGGAACCACACCGGGAGCTGACTGCAGTGAGGTTCCACCTCAGGTTCTGACTCCAAAGCCTGTGTTCTCTGTACTGTACCTGACTGCCTCTCTCCCTAAAGACGTAGAGCTCAGAGGCATGAAAGAAACTACCACTCTGTATGTTTCAGGGGTTCACTGTGGCCCTTTCTCCTCCAAAGGCCTGTAGTACTACGCTACCCATCGAGACAGCCCCCACACAGTAGCTTATTTTTCACTTTCCTGTGGGCGTAACTCATTTTCTCCAAAAGAGGGTAACATTAACTGGCAGCAGGGACTTCTGAACTCATGATGGGTGCTGAATACATCTTTTTTATTTAGATCAGGCAGGGGCATGGGGCGGAAGGACTTCCCTCGCCTCTGATCTTGGCATCAAGGAGGCCTCCCACAAACGCCTCTGGCGGCATACAGTTCTGAGACGGACCGACACAGAGCTGGCCCTCTGGCAACGTTTACTTTATTACAGTCTCACGTACCACAGCCATCAGGTGTCCCCTTGTTGGGGGGCGACGGGAGTGCTGGATTTTCGCCCTGTCTCGAGTGGGGTGGGCAAGATAGCTGTCCTCCTCAACGGTGACCTGAAGAGAGCCACTGAGAGTCATGAGTGCTCTTTGGCAACTGTCTGTCCCAACCCAGCACCCCGAGACCTGAACACACACCCACCCCATGCACTGCTTCCGGATGAATCCGTGGGCAAGGGGACACGAAGGGGCCCTTTAGGCTGACCCAAGCCTGGCTCCCGCATCAGGAACCAGGGAAGAGGCGGTGTCAGAAGAGATGTGAGAGAAGGTCGAAAGAGAACAGGGTTTTTAAAAGTGAGATGAAGCAGAGCTGGTGGGGGAGCGAGTGAATGGGGCCTGCACAGTAATCCCCCTCCGTCAGTGAGTCTGGCTGCTCCCTCTGCCCAGCGTCCCTCCCTCTCCCCGCACTGAGCCCCCTGACCTCATCCAAGATACGGTTCTTGGCTCGGGTGATGGCAGAGTTGAGGGCATTGATCCACGATTCCTTCTCTTCTGGACTCACTGCCAGGAAGATCAGGTTGGGTGCCTGTGAGGGAAGATTCCTGTTTCAGCCAGGGTTTTAGAGGTGGTGCCTCACCTTGACAGTAAAGAAATAAGAGATTATAATCCCACTTTCTTAGACCCAGCTCCTAGGAGAGAGATTCTGCTTCCAGAGTCATCCATAACTTAAGGAAACCCAGCTTCTATTCCTGCAAAATGTATAGCCAGGAGGTTGTTTTAGAAATGACCAAGGAAGAGCTAGGAAGGATACTGAGTATTAATATGGTATTGGAGATAATTAGAGGATGTCTGATGAAGGACAGGTATTAAAATACAAATCTTTCAATGTCTGAAGAAACAGAAGTGTGACAGGAATAACTTCCCTGGGTTCCCTCCCACAAGACGAATTAATTCAACTTCAACCACCTATCAGGGTACAAGTACAGCGAGTTTCTTCTAAGGGATATATATATATTTACACATGCACGTATATATGTGCACATGTGTGTATGTGTGTGTATAACAGAGAAAAATAAAAAGCGAGATTCTATCTATAGAGGTGACTTTGTGGCTGAACAGGTTAAAGGCTGGCCTGCCTGGGAGGAAGGAAATGGCCCCAATATTCTCAGGTGAAACAATAAAGCCAGCGGGAGAGCGATTCAGGGCCTCTGAGCCAAGACTGCCGAGAGAAGCTGACGGAAGGAGTTCTCCCCCTCCTCCAACCCCGTCCCTGTTCCAGCGGCCAGGGCGGCAGGAGAACATACCATGTTGCCCGGCTGTTTGGAGTGGGCGAGAGTAAACTTGCTGTGGTTCTTCTTGCTCCTGCTCTTGGACTTCCGGAGCTCTTCACACTTCTCATAGTCACTCAGGTCAAACACCTCTTGAATATTTTTCTCATCTTTTACCTAGGGGACGGTTGGGGTGAGGTGAGGAGGATAAAATTATTTAGCCCCTCCACCCAGACAGTTTCCATCATCTTGGGAAGCAGAGGAAGCCTGAGGAGAGGGAGGGATGTCAGGAGAGGAGGGGCCATCCTGCCCCAAGCCTACAAGGCCTCACGTGGAGGGGCGGCGGGGGCAGCCCCAGGTCCTGAACACTCAGGCACGTTTCTGCTGAACCCCTGCTCTTCACTCTCTCAACCAGGCTGCCATCTCCAGAGCCCACTATGCCTGTCTTCGCTCACTGCCTCACTCTCTTCCTTAAGGACACCGCTTACATGTTCCAAGAAGGCTCCTATCTTTAACGGGACATGGCAGGTGGTCCATCCATCACCCTCAGGTAAGACAGACGTGTATGGCCCTTGATGGTCCACAGAAAGAAGATCAAGGCAGGGCCAGTATTGGGGTGTCTGGGGAGAACAAGCGGCTGCCTCTGTCCCCCCCCACCTGCACGTGTGCAGTGTAGCTCTCCCGCCCCACCTCGCTCCCTTCTCTGACATGTACGATTATAGAGACTCATCTTCCTTGTTCATTTTGGGAGCATGGTCACCACAGGACCACAGCTCCCGTGTTCAGTTTGCTGAGTTTGTCCCAAGAAGCTGAAAACTACAATTACAGTTCCTACCGTTCCCTCCTCCCTCCAAGGTACTGTGACAATCCAAACTAACTCCTCCAAGACCCGAAAAGCCATTTCATTCGGCTCCCGTCTCTAGACAAGAATGCACGTAGACTTTCCCTGGAAGACTAAACTCTAGACTTGGAAAAAGCATTCTGTTACTTCTTGCTATTATTCCAGTTCAAGTGCCTGGGACCCCTTTACCGCCAGGAAGCTCTTCCTTGTACGGAAACTTAGCCCTCCCTGCCGTAGATTCCGTCTTACATTCTGGTTCTGCCTTTAACAGCTTCAAGCAACATTTAGCTCTTTTTTTTTTTTTGAGACGGAGTTTCGCTCTTGTTACCCAGGCTGGAGTGCAATGGCGCGATCTCGGCTCACCGCAACCTCCGCCTCCCGGGTTCAGGCAATTCTCCTGCCCCAGCCTCCTGAGTCGCTGGGATTACAGGCACATGCCACCATGCCCAGCTAATTTTTTGTATTTTTTTTTAGTAGAGACGGGGTTTCACCTTGTTGACCAGGATGGTCTCGATCTCTTGACCTGGTGATCCACCCTCCTGGGCCTCCCAAAGTGCTGGGATTACAGGCTTGAGCCACCGCGCCCGGCAACATTTAGCTCTTAGAACACTCCTGCTGAAGGCTCATCAAGGCCGCATTCCTAGCGACCTCCTCCAACCCCAACTAGCCTTTTCTGAGCACTGCAAAGCGGCTCTATGAACATTTCCTTGCAGGTCCATTTTAAACTGATCACAATGTTTTCTCCTTTCCTCTAAGGTAGTGTTCCCTGTAACTCTGGGACTCTGAAGTGGTGGCTTATGGATCTGTTTTGGCTGGCAAGGACCGAAGTTACAGAGAAGGACTTAGTTACAAGCCCAGGCCGGGCTGTGTTCACCCTCTGTGACTGGAGCCCAGGGTCGGAACCCCTCAGGAAAGAGGACGGCGTGAGAAATGAAAAGCATGATCACTTGTCTCACGAAAACTGAACAGATGAAAGTAGCCTCACGTCTTCCTGGGATGACATCTACCCACCCTGACTGCAATTATTTCCTAAAAGAGTCCCCGACTTCCCAAGCTCTGAAATACAACTCGTGTGCACGGAGGTGAACTCATCTATCTTCCGGGTTCCTGGCAACCTGGAAGTGGGGAAGCGGTTCTCCCTTCCGTTACCCAGACCATCTACGGCCTCGTATCTGCCCATCCTTCTGAACTGCTGCTGGACCTGCAGGCTGATGACAAAGGAGGACAGACGACCACAGGGCCCTATTCAGGTGAGTGACTGCTTGTACATCTACCTCCACTTGTTTCAGCAAGGCTTGGCTCCTCCAGGGCCCCCTACTTTCCAGGGTTCCTTGGCTTTGGGCTGGAAAGCGACCAGAGGCCTTGAAGGACTACGGTGGGAAGCAGGACAAGGTGCTGGCAAGGGGTGTCCAAGAACAATTCCCAGAAACACGGGGCAAGGATGTGGGATGATGCATCACCCCCCTCTCCCCTGCTTCTCCAGAGTTGAGACTATCAGCAGAGTCCAGAAACCGTGGAGAGGAAAGTGCCAGGGGTGTGAATGGAGCCGGCCGAAGAGAGTTAACTTATTCTGTTTTCCTTAGGGGAAAGGAAGGAAAGGGAGTTTTTCTGGCTTGCAAACAGACTGATAAGGAGCTCCAGGAGCAAGACATGCTGACAGAGGTTAGCCCTTGGTGGGAATGGGGAGGGTGGGACAGCGGGTGAGGGAAGCGGCAGGACAAGGATATTCCAGTGCCTGGGAAGATGGACCATGCCAGGAGCCTTGTTCTCCACCGCACTGTTTCCGCCCCCCACGTATCTCTTCCCAGTCTTATTTGTAACTACCTTTCTTCCAAATTAACCCTTCCTTTCTCCTGATTCTTTGTCCTTGACCACAGAAAGGGATTTTTTCCACGCCTGTCCAAAGAGTTGCCCCAAACCCAATTTCCTCTACCATGAGGTCTTCCTGAGGTTTAGCTTCTGTTCTTACACATCAGCCCATGATCATAAGGTGCTCCAACCCTCTTTCAGAGAGGGTGCCCTTTAACTGAGAAGGAAGAAAATGATTACGATTGAACACAGAACAAAAGTCTATGGCAGAGGTGGCTGTGGAAGACCCTGCCTTTAAGAGAGGAAGTAACAAAAACTCTGGTGAGAATTCTGGGAGATAGGGTTAGGAATTTTCTTGCATTAACAGTAAATGATGTAGATTATACTCTGCCTTAAAACAAAGTCTTGGCCAGGTGCTGTGGCTCATGCTTATAATCCCAGAATTTCGGGAGGTTGAGGCAGGAGGATCACTTGAAGCCAGGAATTTGAGGACTAGCTTGGGCAACATAGCAAGACCCCTACCTTTGTATAACTGAGTTAATAAAAAGAAAAAAAAAAAAAAAGAAAGAAAGAAAAGAAAAAAAAAAAGCAAGACCCCATGTCTACAAAAAATAAGAAAATTAGCTGGGTGCGGTGGCACACGCCTGTAGTCCCAGCTTCTCAGGAGGCTGAGGTGGGAGGATTGCTTGAGCCCGAGAGGTTGAGACAGCAGTAAGCTACGACTGTGCCACTGCACTCTGGCCTGGGCAACAGAGTGAAACCCTGTCTCTGAAAACAACAACAACAACAACAACAACAACAAAAAACCACCATCCATTGGCCCTGGAGCTTTTCACAAGTGGGCAGAATAAAGCCCAGAGTCCTCTATCAATTTCACCTCTAACCCAGGCCCACTGTAGCATGGAAACTGGCTTTAAAAAAGCCTAGTATCAATATGCCTAGTCCCTCTTTCCTATGCCTTTCCCAGAGACAGCTGGCCCCACGGCCAGCCAGATGCTGCTGACTCATAGGACACCAGACATCACCTCCTAGGCTGAGGTCATTCCATCCTGTCCCCCGTCTTTGTACCCCTTCCTCACAAGCAAGGATCAACTGTACTTTTGCCCCTAGGCTCTGCTCTTTGGGAAAATACATACGACGGAGGTCTTATTCCTCTTACCCTTTCACTATTACGTTTTTTCCTTTGACGTGTAGGAAGTTCTCTCTGATTGCTAACTAGTGTTTCCTGCAATTAAAAAGTTCAGGGAAGATGGGAGATATACTTTGACACTTGCTTTTTTTTTTTTTTTTTTTAAATTAGAAAGCCAGAAAATTGCGGAGAAAGTTTTCTGGAGGATTTGTGATTGGGTGGAGGTAACTCTTAAAAAGAAATTCTCCTGGCAAGGCATGGTGGCTCACGCCTGTAATCCCAGTACTTTGGGAGGCTGAGGTGGGTGGATCACTTGAGGCAGGAGTTTGAGACCAGCCTGGGCAACATGGTGAAACACTGTCTCTACAAAAAATACAAAAATTAGCCAGACATGGTGGGACCCACCTGTAGTCCCAGCTACTCGGAGGATGAGGTGGGAGGATCGCTTGAGCCTGGGAGGTGGAGGCTGCAGTGAGCTGGGATGGAGCCACTGAGTTCCAGCCTGGGTGACAGAGCAAGAAAAGCACCCTCACCTCACTCCTAAGACTTTCCATCACCAATTCCTAGTTTTGTGTAAACAGTTAGGTTTCAATACCCTTAAGAGGGATTCCTTGGCTCTGGCACAGCTTAGCTCTTCCCTAGATGCCTCAGTAGATGTTCTTTTAGATGAGTACTCTGTCTTGGGGTGTGTTATCTGTTTCCATACCATAAAAGGTTTTATTTACCTAAATAGAATCTACTGAATAAGGGTGTCTACTGCAGAAAGCAGAAGAGGTTAGAACTCAGGGAGGACTTCCCAGTTAGACCTGGGTGAGGCAACACAGAATCCCTCCCATGCTGGTGGAGGAAGGGCCACTCTAACGGGTACACAAGACAGTCTCTCTCCCAGGCTATACTGACAGATAGAGGCAGGGATTGGAATGACTTCTAATCATTGGGGGGGCAATTCTGATTTCTCAACATGAGTATAAGTTATTGATCCCAAGACTTAGGGAAACAAGGGAGATGGGTTTGGATTCAATGATCATAGCTCAGGTTTTGACAGTGTGGACTGTGGTTTTCATGATTAACTACAGAGCCGAAACTACCCAAAGACATACAGGGGTTCGTTTTTCTCCCTTTTGATACAAATGGGGGGTGGGCAGGAAGTGGGTAGAAAATGGGTTCCCCTCCTTTTTTAAATGGGGTGGAGGTGGGGAACAGAGAGCATACTGGTTAGGGACACTGGCTTCAACTGCTACTCACAGACCCGAGGTCACAGGAGCCCGACGGTGGCGTGCGTGTGTGTTTTCTGTGATTCAGGGCGGATGCGCCGCTGACAGGACCCGTGCACGTTCCTGCCACAGACAGGAAAGGGGAGGCTGTCTGGGTTAAGGTGGGGGAACAGGAAAGGGTGGCGAATAGGCTAAACTGTTTCAGCAGCAATAAAAAAGAAGAGAAACCCTATATTCAGGAGGCCAGGTTAGGGTGGGAGGCAGCAAGGGACAGAACTTCTGGGACATCTTGGGAGGGGCTTGTCATTGTTGTCAGAAAGGTATTTGCAAACAAAAAAACACTGAGTTAAGAGGCGAACTGAACTTCTACTTCCCACTCGGGTCTTTTCACTGAAGGGTGACCTTTCTCTGCAGAGGAGATGGGGGTAGAGACTCGGGAGACCACTGAACTTGCCTTTGGAACAAAACGGGGGTGGAGTCAGCCAGGTGAGCCGTGGTGGACCGACAAAGGGGGTGCATGAGAAAGCGGAGAGTTAGAGGCAAGAGGCACCCACCTCCTTTTCGGAGATGTAGAGCTGGTCCCCCTTCAGCATCACATAGCGGTTTTTCCAAATCTCCCTGAAAATCCCTTTCCCGCAGAATTTCCGGACCCAGCCGACCTTCTCGGGCGGTGCAGGCTGCTGGTTTCCATCCTGAGGCCCCTGCCCGAGGACAAGACGAGAAGCGGGCGGTTAGGAGATTCCAGCCGCGGCCGCCTCGGCGGCCCCGTCTCCTCCGAAGGCTGCGGCCCCGGGGGCGCCCCGGGTTCGCTCCCACTTCGGAAAGGTTTTCACAGCGAGGAACTCCCCCCGCTCCCCTCCCCCTCCGAATAAACAACCGGGGCTGCGAGGGGCAGGGGCGCGGGCCGGGCGCGGAGGGGCTCCCGGGCTCCCTCCAGGCCCCGCCGCCCCGTCTTCGCCGCGCGGGGACTAACGGCGTTTCTTTGGTTTTCTCTCCTATTGTCTCCTCGCCACCGTGGAGCGCGAGGCGAACGCCCGCCCGGCGCCCAGGGGCGGGGGAGGTGCAGGTCGGGGGGAAACTCAGACAAGTTGAAGCCCCCCGAGGCGAGTAAACAAACAAAAGCCCCCGCCGGCGCCTCGCGGGGCCGGGCGTCCAGGGCCGGGGCCGGGGCCGAGGGGATCGGGCCGCCGGGGCGGGGGCGCGGCCGGGCTGGGGGGCTCCCAGGCCGCCGCGGAGCCCACCGGGACCGGGTCGTCGGAGCGCGGAGGCGGCAGCGGCCGCAGGGCTGGCGGGCGCACTCACCCGTTTGGCGGAATTGTTCTTCTTCATCATTCCCGGCGGGCGCGGGGCGGCGGGCGGAGGGGCGGCCCCGCTTCGGGGCCTCGGCGGCTCCGCGGGGGCTCCTTCCCCGCGGGAGGGCGTCGGAGCTGCCCCGGCGCCGCCGCTCCTCCCTCGCGCCCTCCCGCTCCCGGACTCTCCCCTTCTTTGTAGCTCCGGTTTCACTCAAGGCCGGCCTCCCTCGCACTCGCACTCGCACACACACGCACGCCCGCTCCCCGCCCCTCGGCGCCCTCCATCCCGGCGCCCACGCGGCCCGGGCCCCCGAGCGCGCCCCCGCCACCCGCCCGCCCGGCCCGGCGCGGCCGCTCCCCCGGCCCGGTGCGCTGTGGGCGGCCCAGCCCGCGCCCCGCAGCTCCATCCGCGGGCCGCTGACGTTGCGAGTTCAGAATAAAGGGCGAATCGCGGAGCCGCAGCTCCGGCGCTCCCCCCGCCCCCCCGCCTTTGTTTCTGACTCACGGAGGGGGAAGAAGGCGGCCCCGAAGCGGCCGGAGACCGCTCCCCGGGGGGCAGGGACCCTCGCTCCGGCGGCGGCCCGGGCGACACGCGGAGCCCGAAAGACCGGGCCGCCGGCCGCCCCGGGGCACAGTGGGCGGGCGCGGTGGATAATGGAGAGACGTGCGGATTCGTGAAGACCGGAGATCGCCACCCTCCACGGCATCACCTTCTCCGGCCAAAAACAAAAACGAGAGCGGGAGCCGGGAGGCCGCGCCACCTAGAACCGGTATCAGGAATTCACGCTCCTAGGTGCTAGGGTGACCTGGGCAGGTCAGATGCTGGGGGAAAGTTTTATGCTCCGGAGGGGATCGACGTGTTGGGGGATGGGGTGGGACAGTTGGGGGATGGGGTGGGACAGAAGTTGCTATTAATACACGTTTCTTCCAGTGTTCAAAGCCTCAGGCCTTATTGGAACCTCAGGAGAATAACCGTGAGAATGAGGCGGATTTTATGATCTCCATCTCACATGGAGAAAACGGAGACGCAGAATGGCTGGGGGATTTGCAGACACACTGTGTCAATGCCGGCAGGAATAGAACTCTGTCTCCAAACCATGATCCTTTGTACCAAGTGGCTTTCAATATAAGTTCCAGGTGAGGTTTAAACTTCCTGCCACCTGGGTATGTTTTCCTGCTGCACTGATAGGTAAAAATCCCATCCTCTCTACACCGCTGGAGCCCAGTGGAGGGAAGGGCGGAACGCCCAGAGGATGCCCTGACTAGGGAACGGCTGCTCATCTCCTACAGCAGGTCTGCCAGAGCCTCCAGGACACACCTTAGTAACTTCATGTCTTTTCAGTATATATGTGATGGAAGAGGGGAGTGAGAAACCCCACTGTTGGGTACTGGTGTCATCACCACGCTGTGGCCTTTGGTCAACTCGCCGAATTTCTTTAGGCCTGCGTCCACCCACGTATTAAATGGTGAGGGATGAAATGCCGTTTTCATCAACAAGGAAAGTTAGGGGGAGATATGAGATGACCTGTGAGAATCCTTTGAAGATATGTGTTGTCTTCCAGGGCTAATTTTGAAATCCTAATGAGCTAATAAACACATTGCCTGGCATATGGCAAGCTTGCAATAACCACAAAATGAATAAAAATCCCTGGCACAGAGGAACAGGGAAAAGGAAAAATCCTTTTTCCAGAGATGTCTCAAGATGAAAGTGTTGGCTAAATTTGTGGTTTGAGTAGTGGAGGCTGTTTTGGTTTTTCTGGTCTCTGTCAAATGAAGGAGGGGCTGCCTCTCCATTCCCACCAGGCACCTTTCCTCCTAATCCAATAATATTGCTCTCAACCTCTTTCCATTCACCATACCAATTAATTCCACGATTTTAGACTGACACAACTTTATCCTTTCAAAATGCTCTTGTATGTCATTTCTTTACACTTTTAGTGCCATCTTGTATGTAGAATAAGTATTAATATTTCCATTTGGAAAATGAAGAAACGGCGCATGCCAGATCAACTGACTTGCCCAAGTTTATACATCAAGTTACGGGCTAACCAGATTAGAGTCCAGGCTTCCTGACTGCAGTCTCCTGTTTAGACTTTGTGACCCCTCCCATGGGCATGAGGGCACACATAAGACGTTCCCCAAACCATCTCGTCGTCCGCTTCTCACCATCTCTATTTTCTACCCCCTTGTTTAAAAAGCGATGAAAAAATAATGAGCAAATCCAGGATGTCTTCATATGTGAGGAAGTAAAATGTCCAGAGGTACCGGTGAGGAAATAGCCTGCATGACTTTTTGAGGGCTTTCGGGACAAGCACACAGGATTGGTTTAATCATGTAAATAGATTCGGATTTATGGGAAAACAGTAACTCATTATTTGCCCTATCTTCCTCCTTTCCCAGTAGTTTCTATCAGCCCGTAACCCCAGCACTTTGGGAGGCTGAGGCGGGTGGATCATTTGAGGTCAGGAGTTCAAGACTAGCCTCACCAACATGACAAAACCCCAGCTCTATTAAATACAAAAGAAATTAGCTGGGTGTGGTGGCACATGCCTGTAGTCCCAGCTACTTTGGGAGGCTGAGGCAGGAGAATCGCTAGAACCCGGGAGGCAGAGGTTGCAGTGAGCTGAGACTGCACCACTGAACTCCAGCCTGGGCAACAGAGTGAAACTTTGTCTCAAATAAATAAATAAATAAAAATAAAAACAACAAACATCTGAGTGCCTCCTATATGTGAGGTCCGGGGTTCCTTTTGTGCTGCATCAGATAAGTGCCAGAGCATTGAAACATCAGGCAGAGGGGCTGATGAAAAACCCTCCAAAGTAATTTCAGATTCCAGAGCAGATGCATGTGGGCTGCAGAACCTTCCCTGCCTGTCTGCTCCTTAAGATGTTACATAAATCTCTGGCGTCCTCTCTCTTTCTCTCTGCCCTGCTCCATCCTGTGATCCTGCCCCTACTTCCGTTCACCTGTTCTCCCTTTGTCCTGTCACTCACCCCTTTCTACTTTCCCTGGCCTATTCTTGAAGGTGATTTGTCTCACCAGGTGAACCTCGGGGCACCTGAACTGGGAGGTAGGTGGGGACTGTTTTCCAAAGACCAATGCTTAAGTGAGAAACCTGAGAATGTATGGGTTCCTTTACACATTTTTATAGCACTGTCTCCTCAGCGCCCCTCAGTGAGCTTGACACTACACACACAGAAACCACAGAAATCACTCTCAGCCAGTTTCTCTCTGCGGTGGAGATAAGACACTCAAGAGGACCTCAGGATGGGGGTACCTCCCTAACAACATCTGAGGATAAGACGCAACTGCTAGTAGCTATATTCTAGAACGGAATACTTTATAACTCCACTTAAGGGAGAAAGAGGGAGCAATTAGAGATAAAAACGTGTGAACTGCTGCTTGCAAGTTTACTGGGTGGAAACTGTTATTCAAACATGGTTGCCTAAAAACAAATATCCTTGGCTTTTGTAGAGTAAATGGAACACAGAGGTTTTGACCAGGGCGTTCCTGTCTCTGGGGGAGAGGATTATTGAAAGCATACAAGACTTTAATTAAAGTGATGTTTTTAAAGGGCACAAAAATAAAGGGCCAGTAATAACGGAATCAGCCTTGTAAATCTTACACAAAAATATGAGTCTTTGATTCGTAATAAAGAAATGCCAACTTCTGACATCAAACGCCCTGATGGTAGGGCTCGTTTCTTAGACTTCTTGATATTGTCAGTTGAGTAGGCACAATGGAAACAGATGAATAATGAGGAAAATGATATAAGGAAGGTCTCGGTTTTGCTTTTTTTATTCCACAATGTTATCTTGCCGATAGGAAGGAAAGCACAGATATTCCTGCTTGGAGGAGGGAGTTTTTCCATATTTTAAAAGACTATATAACTTGTAAAATGCTGCATTTAAAATACTGCATCCCCAAGTGCAGGCTGTCTCAAAGACTTGTAAAAAAATGAAGAATTAAGAAAAAATTACCCAGAGGGACCCACAAAAGAAAAAAAAAGAAATTAAAAAAAGAACTTAAGAGTTTATTTCATTGAGTGTGTGTAAAGCAGTAACAGCTAAGGGCTGGGAGGAGTAGAGAGAAGGGAAATGGACAGAAGGAGCTTCCAGCTTTTCCCTCTATTTTCTGAACTTCTAAGTGCAATGGGAGGGTTGACAGGAATCCAACCATTTTGCATAGTGATTCTGTAACCCCAACTTAGGGACAGAAATTAATCTTATTTACTGAGCAAATTTTATTGAGCGATTACTATATACCAGTGTTCTGAGCACTTTTCATGTACCATCTCATCTGATTTAATCCTCGTAATCCTATGATGAAGGTTCTATTTTACAGATGAGAAAGCTGAGCCACAAAGAGACTTAATAATAGTCCCAAAACCATATAAATATGACATAGATTTGACCCTTCCTGTCTGATGTTGGAGAATATTTATCAACATATAACTTTACATACACACACACACA